CGTAATGACCACCCAATCTCCATGTAGTACAATGTGCATGTACACAAAGATGATTTCCATGCACAGTAACCTGGCAGTGATCCTTATATAGCACAATACACACCTCAGGCCAGAAGGTGATCTCTATATTGGACACACAGAGTCTCCATACACACTGACTGAACTGGCAGTAAAGACTTTGGAGCAGCTGATGTAATTATCGATGTTGCACAAAGTGGTGTACCCCGGGTCTCACTGCTGGAAAGTATGTACATGGCATAATGATACAGCACAGCTGGCTAACCGCGGGCCCCCTCCTGGCCGACGATCGGCACCGCTCGCTCCCAGCCCGGCACCATCTCCCCTGCTGAATAAATACAGAATGGTTGCCTGGCCACGGGCCCTCGGGCAGTGCCCGCCCCTTGGCCTGTTGTTCCCTGTGGGAGGATGCAGCCATATTCTATCATATGCACACCCGTGCTCAGACGCAGACAGGATGGATCCCGGACACCCAGACCTGCACGCATGTACAGTTTGGCTGTGCGCATGACAGCGTCCTCCCATAGAAAACAACAGGCTGCTACACACTGCACCTCTCCCTCCCAGGAACGGCCCTATAAGGGCATGCACGCCGCATGAACGTACGGCCCGAGTTAACGAAGTGTGAATGAGGCCTTATGGGAGTGCTATGTGAGTTTTCTGTATAGTGCTGGTGTACATATGACTGAGAAATGACAGTGCAGAGTATAGAGCATATGAGTGAGGCACTGTGTGTAGAATGAGCTGACATCCCCCAATTGATGCACTGTGGTGTGCTGAAGGTGCTGAGACACACACACTATCTCTCTCCTCACCCCCCTCCCCCAGCTCGGGAGCAGGAGGCAGATCAAAGACACATGACAAACAATCATGTATACAGGACACACAGCAGTAAGGAGGAGGGCTTACTATGAGGAGATCTGGAGATGGGACATTGCAGAGCTGACAGCCAGGAACACAGCGCGACCTCATCAGCTCGAAAGTCGGCACTCAGAGAAGAGGGGGAGGGGCCTGACAATTACACAGGACGCAGCTCCTTCCTTCACTCTAATCTATCAGGAAGTTTGTATGCTGCGACGTCTGTGCTCTGATTTTTCCTCCCTGCTCACCAGTGCCCGCAGGCTGCTTGTGTTGCCTGTATATTAACACTGGCCCTGGGCATGCACCTAACTCCATCATTTCTGTCCGTTGCACACTCCCCCTTCTCTCAGTGTCCGTCGGTCTCTCTCACCCCCCCCCCCCCCCCACTAAGAAGCTCAAAGTACCTGAACAATGCCTGAATCCAATCAGATTGTTCAGGTATTTTGACAGCCAACAGGGCTAACTAGCAAGATACTGAAGCTTGGCCCAGAGGGAGATTCCTCCATCCACACACTTTAGTGTAGATTTCAGGAATCTGTTGCACTTTTTCCATCTGATCATAAGCTGATATAGATTTTCTGTAAAAAAAATCTAGGTGTATGGCCAGTTTAGGTATACTTTTTTGTGTCGGACAGCAACAACCTCAGTTTTTGTCTATCTGCGCTATCCACCTTGCAGGTTTTTTTTGGAGGGGGGGGATTTTTTTTGTCCTTCATTGCATATTTTTATATCTTTCTTTTATTTTCTGTTGAAAACAAACCCTCCAAAAAGTAGGGCTGTGGTTTAGTGTCTTAGGGTTTATTTTTTGGGGGAAGGTGTAATTTAGTTTAATTTTAATTTTGCTAGGGCCTTTTTTATTAATTTGGGGTCAGCAGGATGATCTTGTTACTGACACAGGCAAAGCTGCCCTTTGTTTGCAGCACATCACAACCTGCTTGTGCAGTAATGTTTTGTGCACCAAATCACCACATCTTTAGTACACCAAAGCATAACATCCCCTATTGCCATAGCTGACATTAAAGTTAAGCAATGTGTTAAGGATTTCGGGCAGGTCTAAATGGAGGGGCATTGGTTCTGAAGGTGCAGGTAATAGGTGGTCAGGCGGCACCATCGAGAAGCAGAGCATGTCTGCCTTTTCTTTCTGAAAGTGGCCATGCTATACAGTCAAACCATGCAGAGGAGGTAGTTGAGTGGCTGACAAAGCCTTCCTGATATTCCTTCTCCCCTGCCCAGAGCAGTCAGTTGTCTGCAACTACTGCTAATGCCTCCTCTTCTTTCTCCTCCTGTCCTGCTAATCCGGCCATAACAAACGGGCAAATGGAAGTAGACGGAATTATTACAGCACACCTTCAGTCACATGCTGCAAAAAAATGCACAAGGATTCCTCATATCAAATGTTGAGGATTAGGAAGACAGAACCAGGAACACGGATTATTTTCTCAGTTGTTTTGGCTCTGATAAACAGATGGAATGAGCCTAGTGTCTACCTTGGGCTGGGTTTGCATAAAACAATCAGATGCACTCCTCCTCTGGTTGCTCTCCAACACTCCAACAAATTTTCCTTCCCCAAAATGTCTTCTGCCAGAGCAAGCATAAAAAATCTTGCTCAAATTTGATCCAAGGTCCACAACAGTCTCAATACTGCCACCACCACACAGATGAGTGCTGCTGATTGCCACCAGACTAGTTCTCCCAGCTTCAAAGTAGATCACTGTGTCAGAAATGCGTTTATTTTTGCAAAAAGGTGGATAGGCCTGGCTGCAAGCAGTACTAACAGACAGCACCTCAACCAAATGACTTTAGACTTGGGGTCCAGGGCTGATGTGGACACTCCTAATAATTAGGGTCCTATGGACTATAGAGTTTCCAGGCTTTACCACTGGCTTGAACTTGTACAGTACATGCTGGAGCTTCTGGCTTGCTCTGTAGTCAATGTGATGTCTGAGAGGGTCTTCAGTGCAGCAGGTACTTTTGTTACATTGATGAAAATCCATCTATCCCCTGATACTGTGGACTGGCCAACTTTCATAAAAATGATTCAGTTCTGGATCAGCAATGATTACAAAACCCCTGCAGCTGATGCTACCAACTACATTTTTCTTTGTCATGTGGCCTTGCCCAAGAAATAGTACCTTCCACCATTACCAGCTCCACCACTTCTGCTGGTCTGCTAATATTACCAGCTCCTGACACCTCTGCTGGCCTGCCACAGTTACCAGTTCTTGCCATGTCAGCAGGTCTTCTACCATTTCCAGCTCCTTCACCTCTGTTGGCTTTCCACCATTTCTAGCTCCTGCCACCTCTGCTGGCCTGCTACCATTTTCAGCTGCTACCAACTTTGGTAGCATTCCACCATTATCAGCTCCTTTCACCTCTCCTAGACTTTCACCATTACCAGTTCCTGCCACCTCTGCTAGCCTGCCAAGATTACCAGCTCTTGCCACCATAACCAACTTCTGTCACTTCTCCTGGCCTGCCAAGATTGCCAACTTTCAAAGATCATTTAGTGAACTCAGACTTTTTCATATTATCTGTTCCACTGAATTTTTCATTTTGGGGCTATCCAAGAGAAAATATTACACCTCTGGATTGCAATAATGTTTTCAGTGCAGGACGGTTCCAGAGAGGTATACTGCATAATATCCACTGTTGGTAACTATGGAAGGTTTTGTAACTATTAAGCACAAAATGACCTTTTTACAATGTGGGGTCTAACTATTTGATGAGTTGCCATCCTTACTCATCAGTGGTGGTCATGTTTACACAGGTGAAAATGTATTTAAAAGTAAATCATAAAGGCTGATTGGACTTAGATAACACAAAATGCATACTGACCTCTCATTATTTGGAGTCTGAATATCTGGTGAGTTGCTATTGTATATTAAGATGAAGGTTATGTCTGCATTTTAAATATTTAGTGTAAAGAAGCTGGGTACATACTGTCCAGCTACGGTCTCAGAAATAATACACTGTCATTTTGAATTAAGGGTAAAACCTTCCTTGACGCTGCCTCTTACATTTCGGCCTAATCAGGCTGCTCAAATACTGACCAACCACTGTACTGTACTGTACAATATTTGTGGATATTGTCTCTCAAATAATACTCTCTAGTTTTAATTATAAGATTAAGCCAACCTTGTCTCTCCTGTTTTTATTGCAGCCTAACCAAGCTGCTTATATACTATTCACTCACTGAACAATATTTGTGGCTATTGTCGAAAATGACGGGTTCAGAGAATGTGGGGTTTGTGATTTTGAAGTTTTTGTGCACTCTGTTTTGGCATTTAACAAACTTTAAAGATAATACCATGTAGCACTGTGAAAAAAGCAAAACTGTACTATGAAACGGTTTTGCCACAGGCCGATTGGCACAAAGTTGAGGGCATTATTTTAAGGGTACAATTTCCTACGGCTTTTGGATATGTTGTGGCTGCTACTTTCACCATTCAGCTCATATCTATTACAGCTGGATAAAACAAACAGGTTTTTATAAGCTGTAATGAAACATATTGAAGTGCTGCTGCTGTTTAAGCCAGGCAATAATGTAAAAGTAAAAAAAAAAACAATCACACAAAATAGATGATGCCAGAAAATGGTATTGCTGATGCTGTCCATAAAAATTGTACTGTTCCATAATGCCACATACAGTTTGAAGGCATCTCCCAAACATTCAACTGAAATAATTGGAGATTTTCCTATGTTGTCTTCATAGTTACATTAAAAGAGGACCCTCTCCTTGCTGCATTGTATTTAAAAATAAAAAAAACATGATGGCATTGATGCATGTCCTTTATTTCAGTGCCCAGCTTCCCATACCCTTGTTTGACAATACCTTGCCTATTAGCCTTGAAACTGGTCACAATTTTTTTTTTAATTATCAGGATTGACCCCCCTTCCCCATAGACATTTATGTATTTTTAAGTTTGCAGTTTTTGAACTTCACGTTGAGTTTGATAAATCCCCCCATGAACTGAACCTAGACACATATGCTCATCCCTAGCAAGAAAAAAAGTGTTCTACTTTCCAATATTGTTCACTTTGATCTGCACAATGTAAGTTCTATTATAGTATCATTATTAAATAGTGTACTTCCCATATACACATATTTTTGCGTTACTTACAGGTGAGAAAGTTAGATCACGTGTTCTTAACTGATTTTCCAAATCTTGTACTTTGTATTTCAGTTCAGTATTTTCCGTTTCTAAATCCTGAATCTGTATAACAAACATAAAACACAACAGCAGTGAAACACATATCAACAAATAATACATCACAGCAGTTGTTCTCAGTCCCAACCATATGCAGCCTTTTAGTTATTCATGAACCTACTGCAACCGTTCATCTAAAGATTGAAACAAGAAACACATTTCTTTCATATATATATATATTCTATATTTTGTTAAGATACAGTTTCAAATTGCAGAATGCCTTTTAAGAAAGACATTGAGCTTTTCTACATACACTGAAACAATCTGTCAGGAAAGCCAAAACACATAACTACATACAATAACTTATGAGGTAGTATTATTCTTCCTTGCTAGGATAGCACCTAATAATGTAGAATACAAATTCCTTTTTAAATCATAGACATCAGGGGCAGGGATGTAAAATGTGGAATCTCTACTGGATACAATAGTTGTAAGCCGGCAAAAAAAAAATTGCTTTGTTTTGGATTTTTCGTTCTTTCGGGTCCGAACACCACTTTATTTTGTTATTCGGATCTTTCGGAATTTCGTTTAGGTGTTGTTTTAGGGTGTTAACTTATTGGCCAGAAAACAGTCACGTGTCCGACTAATTTTAATTTTGATGATCCAGAATTTTGTTAAAAGAACATCCGGATTAATTTGCAGTCGACCTCATTGGAATCCGAATTCATTAAATTTCATCCAAATTTGCATTTAGGACAAAAGACAATGTACATGTCTACTGGATACTACTAGGTGACGAACAGTTTTTCTATGAGCCCAGGCTTCTGCTACGAGTAAGGGATGGAGTTTTCCTGCCCTGAAGGTAGTAAACTGGTAAGTAGTCCCTTGAACCAGATTTTTTAGTTAACCAATATGCTTGGCTAACTAAATATATGCCCAGCTGAGTAACATTGCTACACATATTCACTGGCAGAGTAGATTTTCAATTACGTTTTGATATTTGTTTTGTAATTTCAATTAGGTTTAAAAAAAATGGGATGTTAAGGTTTAATATTTAGTAGAAGTGATTACATACTGTGTACTTATGTACTGTGCTGTGTACTCGGTCAAATAAACATATGTTAAAGTTGATTTTTTTATTAGAGGCTGGCTGATGTCTATCCTGTTCAAAAAATAGCCTAGTGAAAGTGCTTAAATATTGTGGATGTAGTCACTATAATATTTTGGTGATTTTTTTTCAGTCAAATTAATACACTCTATTGCTGACTTTTTTTTTTTTGATTAATAGCTTTTTGGCATCTGTCCTGTTAAAAAAAAAAAAACCCTAGCGTAAGTGCTTAAATACTATGCAAATAGTGGGGTCTAACATGAAGAGGGAAAGGCATAATGCTCAAATGTAGGAATGTGCTGATATCAATTCCAGTATCAATATCAGTGCCGATACTGAGCATGTTTACAGCGTCTGTTAGAACACTGGCAAGCCGAACATCTCTTCCTCCTTCCTTCTGCCCACAAAGCTCTGGTGAGACCCCCACAGCCCTGGTGTTTCCATACTCTTTGATTGTTACCATGGCAAGTCAACAAAAGTTGCTGTGGTAGGCATGATGGGTCCAGATGTCATTAGCACCTAAGTACAGCATGGTAACAATAAACCTTTCCACAAGTTCCCCTCTATAGCAGCCATATAGATATGGGTGATTCTTAAAGATATGGATGCTGGCTGTCTTTAGAATGAGTAGGGATGACTTACTCTAGTTTGGAGGTGGGTATAACATCATCCTTTCAAAATTACCTTCATATCTGAAAAAAACAAAGCCAGTGCTGACCTTCACTATCCTTCCTTACATTTTATGTTTTCTGAAGTCACAATATTTTCTGGCTATTTTTAGTTTTTTGTTTTTTTGCTATCTCAAGCAGGGACGTGCAGTCAGGGGAGTCAGAGCCTCACCTAGAATTATGGAGGAAAAAGCTGTCAGCTTCATGAGATCTCCATTCAGATCGGCATCTAACAGGTTACACAGCAGAAAAATCCTCCCCGCTGTGTAACCTGGCATGGACAGGGCGCCTCAGCAGTGAGGAGCAAGTGAGGGACAGGGAGGCTCCTCCTTGTCTCCTCCCTTCCTCCTTTACACTAGCTTGGGGACGGGTTGGGGTGGGGTTGGACCTGCTGGGGGGCAAGGCTGCGGAATCACAGAATCCACATAACCTGCTCCTTTAATTAGCTAACAGGTTCTACACAAATTTGTTCAAAACCTAACCCTGCTACTTCTGTATGCCATACGGCAGCAGGAGGGCCCTGGAAGCCAAGTAAGGAGTTTGAAGCCCACTGTTGGCTTTACACTGGAAGCGATTTCTTCCAAGGGCTCCACTGGACTACCCCCTCTGCTGCTCCACTTGTGGGCCCAGGACTGGCATGGCAGGTGTTGGCAGGTGGGGCACAAGATGATCAAAAAATGTTTAGGTGTAAAATGTTAATTTTAATATGGGCATGAACTCCTGGGGAGCTGTCATATGTCTTCCCCTGTTCCCCTGTAAACAAATAGGCACAAATATAGAGGATGAAAACTGTACATTATTATTGCAAAGCAATTATTCTTTTAGTAGGCTAGTAGGTAGGGAGGCTGGACCTTGGTGGCCTTGTCGGGAATCCGGCCCTGGGCACAAGCCAGAAGCCCTCAAACCTGGGCACACTCTATATGCAATATTTCTTTTGAGCTAAAAACATACATTTAAAAGGTATTCCTTCCCAGCAGCCCACTGTGGCTACTGTGTAATTTGAGATACGCGGGGATATGTGCCAGGTTTTGTGCGAGGAGTGTGACCCAAAAGGGATTTTTTGAGAACTGATAATATGTGTGGGCACTGGTTAAATGGTGATATTATTTTCCTTACAGGTTCTGTTTAAAACAGCTGGCACTTTTACTTAGCCACAAACTTTATTGTGGGGCATTCTCAGGTGTTCTATAGATATGTACTGTATATGTAAAGCCAAAACATTTTTTAGTTTGGATCAAGAAGGAAATGGTAAAAACCCCTGTTTAGTTTTTTTAATGTCTGTATAACTTTGGAGAATCTTCCTTCACATCCTGTCTTAAGACAAAACAGTAAGTGAGAGGAGGTCTCTTGAAAGGAAGAGAAACCTTAGACAGTTGTCAGTGGAACAAGGGTCCCCACTGGAAAATGTACTCACTATTCCTGTTCCAGTGAACATTTTGGGATTTTCCCTCACTTTCAGTCCCAGTGACAATGGTCATCAGGACAAACCGAGGTCATGAAGCTCCACAGAGGCAACACAGAAAGAAATAAAAACCTGACAGTGGTTCTAACCTTTGCTACTTTATCCAATATAGAAAAAAATAGCTCTAAATATTCTTTAAATGAGGCAATCACTGATGTCCTTATTACAAAGTATGTGACAGCATTGGTCACATGCTCATTGATATTCATTAATACACATTTCTGCAAAGTAATTTGTCTGTTAAGGAGAACCCGTATTTTACCTAAACTTTGCCTGGACTGGGTAAAGTAACATGTCAACTTGACTGCATACATTCAGCCATACAAGACAAAAGTGAATAGCCGGACAGCGTTCGGCTCACCACTTCGACTGGGTTATTCACTTGGCTGCCTTCGGCAGCTTTGTGAATAACTCTGTTAGTGTTTATGATGCATGCTGTCAAGCAAACCTCTTATTTTTTTTCAAGACCTCTTATTTTTTTTCAAGTCCAGGAAAAGTACAGATTTGCTTTAGGCAATGTACCCATTTAGGCAAGTACTTGCCAGCTAATCTAAGAATGTGTTACAAAGCAGTTTCGGGGGGTTTGTGTGAAGGAACAGTGGTGGTAAAGTTTCAGGCATGGTGATTATTCCTTATTCCTCTCTGGTGAAACCACCTCCTCCCCATTTCAGTCTGAAGATGCCAGTTAGTTCTCCAGCCTCTGGGGAAGCTGTACACATTGTGTGTGTTCACAAGGGAAAGGGAAGGAGATCCACACTTCTGGGCTAAAAGGTAGAGGGAAGCTAAACACTGAATCCACCCACCACCTCCATTACTGCGGCACCCTTTCAATGTGTCAGCCATGTTTTAGAAGTCCATCTACATTTATTCTTTATATACTTTCAAGATAAGCAGTTTATTTAAAATACAACAACCTCCTTCCTAAAGTATTGAACCTTCTATATTGTTATTTTGACCATGCAATCTCTATATCAGGCTGGAACAAAGGGAAAACTAAAACTCCATTTTATTTACTGTAGTTTTCTTTTATAATAAGTATAGGATTGGATAGGATGTGCAAGATCTGTTGACGGCTAGCGATGTTAATAACATTAACCAGCTGTGCTGTGGAAACTGAGGGGAATATTGCACATGTTGCTGGTCTTGACTTTCTTCTCCTCAATGAACACTGATGTAAAGTTTTTGGGGTAAGTTAGTATACAATTTTGGCATACTGTTTCTATATTTCTGTGTATTTAATCTGATTTGTGTGTAATGAGTAATTATGAAATTGTTTAGAGCCCAACTATAGCCAAAATACTTTGCATAGGGAGAGTAGAGAGGGATTAGAACCTCTGTTATGTCTTACTGCAGTTTGTGTCTACTTTGAGGATGTGTTATGTCACTTCCTGTTCTTGCAACAACCCAGACTGTGAGGGAATCAATCCATTAGGGACACAGATAACCATCAAATAACAGTTATTTCTAATTCTCTTTACCTCTAAAACAAAATTTGACTTTAATTCGGCTTTTCCCACAGGGTGCCGTAGAAATTTGGTAGATGGTGCCACCATACAATCATAGGAAAAAAGTACCTTTGCCAGCACAGCTTGGTATAGTGATAATCTTCTCCTTTATGCACATAAAGCAGTAGACAGCACAAGGTGAAGTTTGGTACCTTGCAGGATCCCTTTCTCAAGGCAGAGTAATCATTACAACCTTGAGGACAGGATCAAGTGAGGTTTTGAGATGTTGGCCTGGTTTATGTGAAGAAAGAACAAGATTATCACTATACTAAGATGCGCTGGTAAAGATTCTTATTTTCCTATGATTTGATTGGATCTGAGATTGCTGTTTCTCTAACCCATCATTTTAAATCAAGTTACGTAAACTTTCATGCTTTTAATTTTGTGAGTGTGCTACTTATTTACTGGTGCTATAACAAGAGGCATACCACATATATAATGGGTATTTCTTGGAGTCACTGAAAATGTATATTAAGACGAACAATGACAAGCAATAACATAGACAAAGGATTAGAGGCATATCGAGGAAGTGCCTATTTGTCAAATATGTGTTTCCCACTAATCTACTTTGTCCTCCTGTATGTCGATGCTAAATTTTGCAGTTTCAGTACGCATTTCTTAACCCTGCGATATCCCTGTATCTATATAGCCTAGCAAAATATTTTTTTCACGGTTTTTAGGGGAATAAAGCCTTGAGTTGGCACACAGGTTTAAAAAATACCCAGCTAAGATTTCTGATTATAATGTATTTATGTCAATAGGTGAAAAGGACAAAAATGTAATAAGAATGCAGTTTTAGTTTGATGATTGTGTCACATATGTTGTATAATTAATACTAATTCGAAAACTTTCATTAAACAATTTTCACCCATTTACCTTGAGCTCAAAGACCCCTTCTACCTTTGGGGACCTTAGGGATTTGTAATGTGTAATTGGGGTTTATGTATGTATGTGCGTCATGACTGTGTATGTATGTGCGTGAATGTGCATGTATGTGCGCATGCATACTCTTTTTTTACTTATGATTGTATTATTGTTGAGGGCATGTGGCCTGGTATGGTATGGGGGGGGGGGGGAATGCCCCCCCCCTTCCTTTCCTGGCTTTCCATAAAAGTCTAGTAATGGATTTGGGGGGGAACCCACAGCATTTTTTTTCCTGGGGATCCCCCTTGAAATCCATACCAGGCCCATAAGGCCTAGTATAAATTTAAAGAATACCCCACATCTTGCATGGGGGTCCCCCCTCAAATCCATATCAGACCTAAAGCACGTGGAATTGGGGGGGACCCTAAGTTGTTTTCAGCCAGAATACCTGTATAACACAAACTGTCTCTCCCTCCCTCACAAAGCTGTCAGCTCTACTTCACTAACTCGAACACACACTGACAAAAGGATGCTGGGAGAGCTGCCTTTTATATGGTAACGAACATTAAACATCCTGTCCCGCACTCTCCCCCAAAATCATTGTAGTAGGGTGTGTGGCCAACGGTAGCACCATATAAATCTAAAGCAGATATAGCCAGTCCTACTTAAACACTACATATTCAATTTTATAACACCTACCATTCCTAAAATGTGATCTGTAGCTTTCTCTCTCTCTTTCTCTGCGTTATAAATTACTGATAACAAAGCTTTAACTATTAGTGGTGTCTATGAAACACTACTTACTACTAACATGTGGCTTACACAAAGTTTTCTGAATAAAAAGACAGTAAAAAGATTGAACCGGGTGTTTTTGGGAATAGCTCTCCTGCATAGCGAGCAATATTTGGACAAAAAACTGAAGTACTGGCCAAATTAAGTTACATTTATTTTCATTTTGAGCTCCACTGAGCCACATCTATTTTCTTTGATACTGTTTACAGTATATATTAAAGGCTGTAAAGGAGGAGATTTTAGAGACAAAAAAAGCTATGGCCTTCCACAGAAGAAGCAAAATGAGATGTGTGCATCAGTGTGCTGGGTCTTAGTAGGATCCAGCAAACATTACTGACCCTCTAAATTGTCAGGGACCTCTGGATATAGTTAGTTGCATCTCCAATCTCTCTGACCCTTTTTCTGTACTGTTAGACAACTCAGAATAAAACAGAGCAGTGAAAGACTTTATCATAATATTGTTTGCCACCCTGGCCTTCTGTTATGTAAAACAGCTTTTTTACACTTCTATTTCCACTTTTTACTGCTAAACGTGTTTCACTACTACTTAATTCTTCTCAAAGCAAGCTATAATACATGCTTAAGTGGACTTTAAATTAGTTATTTTAATAATTAATGCCTTATTATTATACTTTATGCCCTCCATTTTAATGGTTGGAAAAGGTAGATATTTTAATCTCAATTACTGGCAAAGGCTTTGTTAAAGACAATATCTTACTAAACCAGCTCTGCATTATGCCTATCTAACAATCTACGAGTGAAATTTCACAACATTTCTGTAAAATGCATTGGAGTCAATTAGGAAGGTTTAGGATGGTTTTAAAGGTACGGTGGTTTTTAAGTGGGGTTGATTTACTGAAGAACTAACTTAGCTTAGTGAATGAGGTGAAGCAGTACTGACATCAATCATCCAATAATGTACAAGTAAAAATCCTATTTTTAAATTACCTTGAACACAATTGGGTATTTAAAGTGAACACAGCTTTACTTGATTCTCTAAGCTAGGTGAAAACTCAATTTGCAAAGTGAACATGCTCTTCTCATTTTAGTAATTTGACGCCAATTTGGCCTAGGGATGCTCCTTTTAAATATCCTGGACATATGCTTGTTCCAGAAAATGTATATCTTAACCCCTTCGTGACTGACGACGTACAGTGTACGTCGCCAGCATCGGGGCTGTTTAAACAGACTCCCGGCGACTTTTGCCGCCGGGACTCTGTTTAAACTTGTAGAGCCGACTGTCGGCTTTACAACAGAAGCGATCCTGGCGACTTACCTGACGCCAGATCGCTTCTGTGTCCCGAAGAATCTCCTTTGCACACCATACCGATGTACCCCAAAATTCATTGGGTGCTGGAACAACTGGTAGATGGTGCCACAGTATACAGTACAGAAGATATGTTGTCCGCACACCATTCAGCTTGAAAATATTGTCTTTATTGCTGTCCTTCAGCACTTTCATATGTAGCGCCCTCTGCTATGTCACTACAAAATTTAGTGTATATCTGGACTGTAATCAGTCTGGATGCTGATTTGCTCTGAGTTCTGCAGGATTCCCTGAGTTTGGTGGATTGATTGCTTCCCCCTGTTGCTGGGTTGGGGACTCAGCATACAGTGAGGGAGGATCCATCCTCAGACTGTGACTGTGCACCTGACTCTGACCAATCTCTGAGCAGGGTGACTCAGAGGTATGGCTGAAGGAAGGTGATAAAAGGTTTGTGGACTTTTTCCAGAACTTTCTCTCTCCCCTGGGGCCCTCCCTGGGAGGTCTGTGTGCTACAGATGCCTGGCCTAGGCCTCAGCATGTGGCAGATGCTGGGGGCCCTGTGACCTTAGATGCTACTGGAAGGGAGCCTGATGGAAGCTGGGTTAGAGGTGGAATCTGCTTATTGAGGAGTGTCGCAGGGGAGCTGGTGAGAGCTACCATCTAGAACCCTGTAATAGACCCCTCTACCCATTCTCTGGTACTTTACTGAAGAGAAGCCAATTGGTGCACTACAAGTCCTGTAACAGTTATCTCTCAAGGTCCTGGACTATTCCTGGCTGTTCTCTGTGCTGTGACATAATACTGGTCGCTCTTACAGGACCATTGTGCTACTGATTCAAGCTGTTGCTAAGGGAGAATACACAGTTCTCTAAATTGTTACTCGGGTATCATGCTACCCCAAACCCTCTCTCCTAGTTGGTACTGTATAATAAATGCTAAAAAGACCCTACGACTCGAGCCTGTTCTGTTCCGGAGTGTCGGTATTAATGGAGCTGAGAAAGGGGCCGGTGGCGGGCAAAACAGGTTGGAGAGCCCTAGTTCATATTCAGCGGCTCCTTTGGGAGTGAGCGCTACACATGTCATGTTGAAGGAATAGCAAAAAAGATGACATTATGGAGCTAAATGGTGTGTGAACAACATGTCTTCTATACTTTTCCAGAAAATGGTCCCTCATTGGCCTTATTATATTTTCTTCACACAGTAAAAAAAACACCAGCAAAACAGTAAACTACCCTGAATCCACTCTGCCCCCTAAAAACACACACCCTCTAAATAAAAAATTAAAAAAAAGTATTTTTCCTTTCAAACAAATTTCAGTTAAGCAACTCAACAAAAACAAGGGAAAGTTTCTTCTTCAGCAAGATTTTGACAGCGAAATTTGTAAATTTGTGACAAATTCAACTTTGATTAAATCACTCCACTCATCCCTATCTTCTCGATGCTGAAAACCGTTCTGTCATTTTTTCATTAGTACATTTCATTTTCTTTGACTTGTAATATAACTTTTTTTGGCACAATATCTGAGTCTGTTAAGCTTATAGTGTACAATCAGTTCTTCTTCAGATCGAGCAGTAATATCACAGGACTTACCCTTTTCTGCAAGCCAGCTATTTGTTTCCGTGTTTCGACATCTTTTCCTCCAGACTCCAGAAATTTTCTGTATGCCAGATCAAACGCTTGTCCAATCGTTAGTGTTATCTCCTCAGCCTTTAAAAAAACAACATATTTTCTAACTAATTTATTACTGCATTCTGCTAAATTGTGTTGTTTTTTGTATCTTTACTGAAGGGATAACAACAACAAAAAGTTACTCTATAGATTTGTATCACTATAGAAAATCAATCGATTTTAATAGGGATGAGGTTGATTTACTAAAGGAGTAGTGTATTTTTACATACACTGAGGTAAAGTTGTGCTAACTGCAATCATCCTATCTTGTGTGAGCAAATATCCTGGGGTTTTTTTTCTTCTGAAAAGTGAATTTTCACTTGGTTTTACTTCAGTGGAAATACTGCTTTAGTAAATCAGGGACAATCTTTATATCTTATTTGGATGTAGTGGTTGGTATGGTATAAATGGAAGACTCTTGCTTCTTTTCTTCTTAATAAAAATCTTATTAAACAAAAGTTAATGGTAAAAAAATGGGAAAACAAAATGAAAGACTCTGATTTACATAAATCTTTATTCAGATCCTTAATTGTTTATAACAAAATATCCACACTAAAGGGAATAACCTCTAAAACTGCAAAAACCCACACCACTAACAGAGATGGGGGTATAAGTAGTAAATCCTATTTATTCTATGTCAGAGCATCTATTATCTGAATAGCAATTTTAGAAAAGTACTTGTTGCTAAAACATCTGGATCTAACTCCCAGAAGCAGGAACTGTTATCAGTCTCTATTCATTGATACTATGGGTTACATTTACGAAATAATTAGAGCATGTTAATTTTGCAAAGGGAATTTTCACTTTCCAAAGGGTATTTTCACTTAGAAATGTTGTAAAAAAATTATATTTTATAAATAAATATATATAAAAAAGGACTTTTGCTTGCAGATGATGGAAGTTAGCTCAGGTTCAGCTGATTCACTAAGGTAAGGTTGAAATTCACTTTCCTAAGTGAACGGCTTATACTCCTTTACTAAATCAACCAATCAATTCTTGCTGCTAAAGAGTTTGTATAGAAAAATGTTTTATCTAAAAACATAACACAATTAATTATTATGTTTTTTATATGCCAACATATATTTAATTTCTGTTTCTACAGTTTCTCATTTACAGGTGTTTCCAGTTTTTTTTTAAGCCTTTTGATACTCTCACAAGGGGCACACTGCCACATGCATCCTCAATGATCATTTTATAAGAACTACTCTTTAACAGTAAGAATGAAGCTTCAAAACCATATTTAAAGTATTTGTTTGGGTTTTTTTCCTTTTTTTCTGTACGGCTGATTTTAGCTGATGTACATACAGCCCCTTTTGTCACCACATACATGACTGTGTTGTCAGTCATATTTATTTAGTGGTGTTGCGGGCAGGAATATTGATTATGTTTTTATCTCATAGAAATCAATGCTTTCGGTGATACATTAACCACTTTGTTTATAGGCTCTCGGATTGTGCTAGTATATGTTTTGTAACATAGATAAAGTGTGCTATATCACTCACCACTAATTGTGTGCTTGGACAAACTAAGCCATGTCTACTACCTAGTAAAGGGGCAACCCATCAAAAACATGACTGTGTCCCAGTTTGGGTCTAGAGCAACAAGTCTGAAGGGCCTGTAGGCTGCATCATCATTTTGGCATGTTTCTATTATTATTATTATTTCTATTATTGAAAACATATTAAGAAAATAACATTAAATTAAATTATTAAGATACTTATTAATATTACTACAGTGTACAGTATTGTGTAGACACATAGAGATTGGCATAAGGCTCCTTTTATTTATCTTGACATGAATGTGTCAAGCTAAATATTTATTGTACATTATTTAGAGGCATTTATATAGCACTGAGAATTTACACAACATTCTTATAAACTGTACATTCACATCAGTCTCTGCCCTTAAGGAGAATGCAACCTAATATGCTATATCCCTATCTCACATGCACACACAAACTGGGCCAATTTAGACAAGAGCCAAATAACCTACCAGCATATCTTTGGAGCGTGGGAAGAAAGTGGAGCAACCGGAGGAAACAAGCAGAGGGATAACATGCAAACTCATAGTTACATAGTTACATAGTATTTGAGGTTGAATAAAGACATTAGTCCATCAAGTCCAACCTATTAGGATCTCATTCTAGGAGTACCCAAGTATCATGTAAAATCTGCGCTTATGGAACCATGGGAGATATGAGTAACCAATATTAAAGCTGGTTGCACTAAAGACAATGAGGCCAAAATATTTATATAATGAATTTGCAGTGCTAAGGGTGCTTTTTTAGGTAATGTGAATGAGCATTTTATAATAAATGAACGAGAGATTCATTGAGAGCCTTGTGGAGACACTAGAGAGCCCTGGTTTAACCAGGGCTCTGTGGGGTCTCAACAGCTGTCTGTGAGGTCTAACAAAGTTGGTTAGACCCCACAGAGCCCTGGTTAGACCTCACAGAGCCCTGCTACCCTGGTGAGGCCCCCTCAGAGCCCTGGTGAGTCCCCAGAGAGCCGTGGTGAGACCCCCACAAAGCCATGGTGAGACCCCATGGAGCCCTGGTGAGATCAGGGCTCTGTGGGATCTTGCCAGGGCTCTGTGGGGTCTTGCCAGGGCTCTGTGGGTCTAACAAGGCTGGTTAGACCCCACAGAGCCCTGCTACCCTGGTGAGGCCGCCTCAAAGCTCTGGTGAGACCCCACAGAGCCCTGGTTTAACCAGGGCTCTGTGGGGTTTCACCAGGGCTCTTTGGCGTCTCACCAGGGCCCTGAGCGGTTGCCAGGGCTCTGTGGGTCTAACAAGGCTGGTTAGACCCCACAAAGCCCTGCTACCCTGGTGAGGCCCCCTCAAAGCTCTAACCAGGCTGGCGAGACCTCCACATAGCTCTGGTGAGACCCTACAGAGCCCTGGTGAGACCCTACAGAGCCCCGGACCCGCCAATAGGTTCTCTAAGTCTGCAATACGGTCCATTTCCACCACCCACTCCTCAAGGGTCGGGAGTGCCATAATGCGCCAGTGGCGAGGTATCACCATCCTGGCTGCCGTGAGGAAGTGTCTGAGGAGGCCCTTCTTTGCCGTTTTAAGCGATCCAGGAAGCATGGACAGTAACAGGATCTTAGGATCATTTGCTATGTCAGTTCCTGTCACTCTGAGGTATATCCTCAACACCCCCTGCCAAAAACCCTGAAGCTGAGGGCAACTTCACCATATGTGAGTCCTGTTGCCTTGGGCGCCTTCACAGCGCCAGCAGGAGTCTGATACTGAAGGATAGTATTGGTGGAGGACCACAGGGCATCTGTACCATCTGGTAAGTATTTTAAAGTTCTTTTCCTGGGCATTACTGGCGACAGAGAGTGAATGAGTGAGGGAAAATGACTTTTCCCAGTCAGCTGTCGTAATGGAGGTATCTAGTTCACGTTCCCAAACAGAGTTATAGGAAGGTAAATCGTGCGAGGTCTGCAGGGAGAGAATAGAGTAAATGAGGGAGATGGCGTGAGAGGGGGGTGAAGAGGCCAGGAGGATGGAGTCAAAGGCCGTCTGTTCCTCCCCAAAGGCATCTGGGCTAGAGAAAGTGGCAATAAAGGAACAGAACTGGCTCTCTGCCATCCACTCCCCAGGCCCCGTACTGGAGTGATCCCCCACCACCAGAGGTTGATCTCGCAGTGCCGAGACCATCCGGCGGTGGGAGGCCTTTGTCCATCTGCCGAAGGAGGTTCCTGTCAGTGCGGGAGGGAAGGACGGGTTCCCAGATCAGAGGGGTCATCGGGCCCACATAGGCCGATAAGGCATGGTGTTTAACATAGCGGTCCCAGAGTTTCAAAACGTGTGTCGTTAGGAGGGGCAGGGAAGAGGGCACCGGTCGTTATCCAGGGGGTACCCAGGGCAAGGCGAGCAAGTCACCCGTAGTGAGCGTCTCCTCCAGGCGGACCCACTGTTTCTCTTGTGCCCTAAAGTCTCCGGTCACCTTCTCCAATAGCAGGCGAAAGTTGGTAGAGTACAGGTCAGTCGGGATAGAGATGCCTAAGTACTTCAAAGATGTGGAGCAAATGTGGAAAGGGTAATTGTCCGTCAATCGGCGCAAGTCTGTCGCTCCTAGGGACACATTTAGGATTTCCGACTTAGTAAGGTTGACCCGAAAATTACTAGGGGAACTGAAACGTTGAAATTCCTGTAGGATTGTGGGCATGGCGATATGAGGATTGGTCACATAAAGCAGGAGGTCGTCAGCAAAGAGCGCCAGTTTGGATCTGTGAGGCCCCACCTGTAGTCCCTGAAAGGCCGAGTTGTGTCGGAGGGCGACTGCCAGATGCTCCATGGTGAAGATGTAAAGGAGAGGGGACAACGGGCAGCCCTGTCTGGTGCCATTAGTGATCTTAAAGCTAGGGGAGAGCGATCCATTGACGCGAACCCTAGCCGAAGGGCTCGAGTAGAGGGCCATGATGTTTCTAAGCATGGCAGGTCGAATGCCTATTTGCTCTTAGGTGCGATGTAGGAAACACCAGTCCAGGCGATCAAATGCCTTGTCTGCGTCTACCGTCAGGAGGCAAAGCGGTGTACCTGACGTTTTAGCATGATGCATCAACAGGAGTGTCCCGATGGTATTATACCGTGCCTCTCTCCCTTAAACAAACCCCACCTGATCAGTGTGGATCACTCCCGGAAGGAGTGGCTTTAGTCGGTTGGCAATTAATTTGGCGAGCATTTTCACATCAACATTAAGGAGCGAGATCGGCCTGTAATTTGTGCATAAGGTATGGTCTTTACCGGGTTTAGGGATCAGCGAGATGTGGGCTTCTAGCGTTTGCGTTGGAAAGGAGGCACCTAGCGCAATGGAGTTAAACACCTTCAAGAGGAAGGGAGTAAGCCCGTCTTTAAATAGGTTGTAAAATTTTGCCGTAAACCCATCAGGTCCCGGGCTCTTACCCGTAGGGGACAGCCGAATTGCAGAAAGCAATTCTTCCATCGTGAAGGGTGACTCCAAAGCTTCTGTGTCTGCATCCCCTAGGTTCAGAAGGGGTGTCTGATGAACATATGCCAAAACCTCGTC